TCACTCCATTGTGAATCGCTCCTTGGAGCTAGCAACGTCTGAGCTGTCCTTGTTACTAGTTAAATCAGTGCCAGGAACTGAAGGGTTAAATAGAATGGATGTGCTGAAGGAAATTTGGGCAAATAATTGCAAAGTGGATAAAAAGAAATGCTTTGTCTGCACATGTATTTCACCTGTGGAACACCCTGCCTATTTGTTGAGGTACATAATCAAGTAAGATTTCTTAGAGAATCACTCATTTACATGGGTAAGGATAGCATCTGCAGTTAACCCTTATAATTTTACTGTCTGGGGTTAATCAGTCCTCATGCTTCAGGGCTGAACACCAGCTGGAGTCAGGAAGAAAACTACCCTGCATGGTCATATTAAACGGCGAGGTGCATTTAGGGCTTTAAGTATCTGGCACTGGTTGGTGCTGGAGCCAGGATACCAAACTCCCTAACTAGGCCTTGGGCTGCTCTGGTGAGGGGGTCCCCAGGCAACAGTTGGATTGTCTGTTCTGATAGTGGGGTACGTCTGCCTCCAGAGAGGCCAAAGCCATCCAAGGTGTAGGACCAGGAGGATCCCTAGCAGTTCTCCTGTCCTTAAGCCCCCTTTCGATCTTGCACATCATGGCTTCCCACTTCAACATGGGAGACCAGATGCTGCTCCTAAATCAGCCAGCAGGGGAGTCACCCTAGCGTGGTGGACACCAGGCAGCTAGTGAAGCTGTTACCCGGAGCTTGCTGTGCTTTGAGGTGCTGGCTAAAGAGGTCGCTGACTGTGCTTGTTTCAGATTGAAGAGGAGCTGGCTGCCCTCCAGAAGGAACGCAGCGAGAGGATAAAGTTTCTGTTGGAAAGGCAAGAGCGAGAGATTGAAACGTTTGACATGGAAAGTCTGCGACTGGGCTTTGGGAATTCGGTCACATTAGATTATCCCAAGGAGGACTATAGATGAGATTAAATTTCTTTTGCCATTTTCAAAAAAAACAAAAAAATTATGAAAAACCAACATTCCCCATGTTAACGGGCGTGCTCTCTCTCTTTCTGTCTCTTACTGACGTTGTGTCGGACTAGTGCCTGTACGTTCTTACTCTGTCAGGGCCCCTTCCCCTGCGTCAAGTGCCAGCGCTGGACAGCTCCTGGCCGTCTCTTTTCATAGTACGTCACAGTATTGATGTCTCAGTGCAATGATGACAAATGTTTCAGTGAAAGCTTTGGAGACGATTTTAACGAATCAAACAAAAGTGGATGTCTGTTGCTTTTGAGCAATCACTCATTTTACCACCAATCAATGAAAGTACAAGCAAAAAAAAAAAAAAAACCCAACCCTATATATGAAAACCCAGGGGGAGAGAGACGAAATCCGCAGCCTTACCTTAACTAGCTGCTGCATAATTTTATTTTATTTTAATTTTTTTTTTGGTATTTATTCATCAGGAATAATTAAATAAAAAAATAAAAAATTTATTAAAGATTGAGAAATTTGATACATTTTACAGAAAAAAAATCTTAATCGTGATGTACATATCAGTGGTGACATATTATTACTTTTGGGGGGGCAGGGGAGGGAATGGGGCGGGGTGAAGAGATCTCGTGATTTTTAAAAGAACCATGCCGGGCGAGGTGGGGGTTTCACCTCAGCCTTCGGCATATTCTTGATTGTATCATAATCATTTTCTGCTGTCGCAGAGAATGTGAATACACTTAAATGGGCCCACAGGATCCCAGTAGCACAAATTGGGCTTTGTCAAATCGTGTATTTTGTGTATAGAAGGAATTTAAGGAGAGCTTTTACTTATTTTCATATTGTATTTTAACTGTTTCTCTGATCAGAATTTTTTTACTCCTTTCCTCTCCCCATCCCCAGCCGCCCCGCCCCCCGACTTTCCAGTTCCGTATTTGGAGTTCAACGCTGTCTCTCGGTCAGATCATCCTGATCTTTCTTTTCTTATTTTGTCCCTCCCCCCAAACCCACCTCCCTCCCCAGAATCTCGGTCATAAATACTGCATTCTTCACACTTTCAAACTGTGTATTTTCTTACAATAAAAAGCGGTAAAAAAAAGGCTTTACCTTCTTTTGCATGCACTTTAAAAAAACAAAAACAACAAAAAAAAACATTTTTCAGGTTCCAAGGAAGAGCATGAATAACTGTCAGAGCTTTTAATTATATTTGTAAATAAAAGTGTTCATCACAATGCCTCGCTGTCTCATTGTCGCGGAACAAGCCTCTCTTGCCCACGGGGAGTGGTTATCCACTCCCGGCCTCACCGCTCCTCTTACTTCCAAGCTGAGAGTGGAACCAGGCCTGCGTGATTTAAACGCCACCCTTCCAAGCCACTGGATGCATTTGAAGCCTCAGAGCAATCTCTCTCTAAGGAACCTGCTTGGCTGCTTGTGATGCGGATGGAACAGGTGCTGCATACTCAGCCCAGACTCTCCTGCAATACATGGAGATGGGCAGTTCTCTCTGCACGGCATTGATCAGATGAACCCATCTGCTTACAGCAAACAAGAATTGGTGATTTCTCCATCATTCTTCAACCTGTTGCTGCTGTAGGGTGGATTTGAGGGACTGAGATAGTGGTTCTCCATGTTTTTTTGGAATCTACAATGCAGTAGATGAATGGCCCAGCCTCCCTTCCTAGACGGCACCCTCCTGCCCTATCTCCTCTTGGCCATGCCCTGGCCCAGTTACCATTATCTACTTTTTCTGCCCATTGTATTGCTATTCTTTCCCCCTTTTTCATCTTTATTTCCAGCTTGGGGAAAACAGAGCTAATACTAATGTGTAGTGCAGCCACTCACTGCTGTTCAGTCCTGTCCGGGTTCCTGTTTTGCTCATGTATCTCCACTCTGCTACCCTATCTTCACTCACTTTCCCTGGGCGTTCAGGAGTGGGGTGCTTAGGTTTTGGCCTGAAAGGGAACAGTTTATTATTGATATTGCAACCAGCAGTGCAAGATACTAATATGCATATAAACTGTTGCCACTAACTCCCACAGCCCTTATCATCTACACGGGTACCCCTTGCATTCATAATGAGTGAGGGAGAAAAAATAGCAGCAGAGACGAAGTTTGCAGCCCTGGAATGAATCGTCCACCTGTGTTAGACTCAAAGGTAGAGATCTTCATTTGCTGTTAATGAGCATTCCTCGTAGAGCCATGCTCGTTAATATCAGCTGTGGATCTGGCCTAAAATGCTTACACAGGCCTTTTGTTTTCCATTAGTAAGTCCCTTTAAGTGCTTCACATTTATCTCTCCTGTGGGTTGTTGGAGATGCCATTAAAGACTAGTGGAACAGCTCTGCTCACGCGTGAAATTGTAATGCAGTGCTGATGCGTCCCATGTTTTTCCACACGGTGCTTTGATCATGGCTTTTACAGCCCCACTTCTATGAAGCTCATTGGGGGTAATACCAAATATTAGCCAAAGTCTAAACACAGCTGCTTTGTCGGGACACTTACCATTTAATTTTGGGTTCACATGTGTCTTGCTTCCCAGCCTGGACCAGAAGTGCGTTTACCTGGAATGTGCCCTTGTTCAGAAGCATCACAGCCTTTGTAACATCATCAAAGCGCTTGGGAAATGAAGGTGTTTTCTTGCAAACTGGCAATGGCCGTGCCTTCAAGGAATGGCCCTGGCCTAAGGTAGAATTGGCCGGGGGCGGAGGGGAACTGAAGCCTCTGCAAATGGTTGGGGATTTGTATTGTTTCAGGGAAAGACATCAAATGGGCATTAAAGTCTAGTGCTGGAGCAAGACTGGTGGTGCCGGAGCTGGATGGATCCTTACAATGTGCTGGGCCCTGTGCTTGAGTAGCACCTGCTTGTGCGTGTGCTGGCTGAAAAACCATCAAGGCAGTGGCTTGTTCTAGCCCTAAGACAGGAAGGAGGAACCCCAGCAGCAGACTTGAGTTGCTTCTGTTGCTGTCCGACAGGTTAGCCCAGACAGCATGTGTACGTCCTCCTTCCAGCAGATGGCAGGCGTGATAATGCTCCATGATACTCCCTACAGTCAGTCTGTCTAGCTTATGTTTGTCCTGATTCAAAGAAATGAAGGTGGTGTTGCCATCCAAAGAACAAGGGTGTTTATTTGACCTTTGCCTAAAATAAAATCTTTCTTAGCAAAGTTTAATTCTCAGTGTATAGCCCTCCCCACTCTTTGAGCCATGAAATTAAGGCAAAATGGTAAATTCTTACTACTTAAAAGGACGTTTGTGATGGTGTGTTCCTCCTCACCGCTGTACTAAGCTTTTTTTGGATAGCAGCTATTGCAGTAGCAGACAATATTCGAGGGAGAAAAATACCTTGAGAGAAATATTTCATTTTCTAGCCACCTAACCTTGTTTCTGTTAAATGTTTTTCAGAGGGTGGCAAAACCTTTGTCGCTCCCTGAACAAACTTAGCACATCTCCTGCTCCTCCTCAAGCAGCTGTGTCAGCAACAAGGGGTTGCCCCTGCCCCTAACAAAACATTTCCTGGGTCATGTTGTTCTGTCACAACACTATGAACATACGATATAGCACGAGCTGCCTTTGGGAACAACAGCCAGGTTCGCTAAGCCCTCCTTCCACAGCTGGGTTGAACTTAATGACAGTGTTCCTCTAGCCCTTTACAGCTCTGTGAAGTGGTTGAAACACTAGCAATTTTAAACAAGAGGCTGCACCTTCACCCCCTGTAAGGAAGAGTCAGTACTTCACAGGTGCAGAGAGGAAGTGCCACTTGGGTTTAAGCATGTTTTCTGTTACCCCCCAACACACAGCTCCCCTTGAGCTCCAGGTGCTCCTTGGGCCCTGCCCACCACCCCCTTCCCCTGTACATGTTAGAGAGAAAGAGGATACTCTTCCTAGCCACTGCTTCCAGAGCCTCCCCACGCCTAGAGCATGGATTCAGCTCCCTCCTGCACCCCAGGAGGAGTTTAACAAAGGTGATCGGAAGCCACCTAGCGCAAGTCCAAAGGGAGTTTGTTAGCCACTGGGGCTTTTTCCAGCAAGGGAACAAAAGATGTCCAAGTCCACCTGTGATTCTGTCCTTTTAATTGAACTAAAAGCAAACAGCGCACAACACTGACTTGCACAAACAAGGGTTTCAATATAAGCTAAATTAATTTTCTGGTTCAACAAAAGCTTCCAGGGTCAAGTTTTGCCCCCTCCATTCCAGTATAAAGTTAAATCAAATTAAAGGGCACAGCTGTGGCCTGACATACTGGTGTGGAACAGAGCAGCTCCGACCTACTGACCCCTCCAGGGAACATCTGAAGTCTTTTTGGATAGTTAATCTGCTAGGACCAGTGTTTAGTGACTAGTGAATTCTGTCTTTCCCCCCTACTTCGTATGTCTGCATAAAGGCAGGCTCTGTGTTTTAAGAATTTGTTTGCTACCATATGTCAAATCTTTCTGCTTCCAGACTAATTGTGAAGTTTGACATAAGAGTGCAAGGGCAGGTGGGAACACATGCAAGAACCTCAGCTCACTCTTACCAAGAGGAAAGAGAAACAGACGCCATATTCTCCCACCCCCAGGCTTTCCAAGACGGCCCGGGAGGCGTAAGCAGCTCTAAGCATTTCACCTTAGCAGATTTCTGTAGTGGACTAGTGCTCTTTAGGCAGCAATGGTTTCTGCAGAAATGGGCACAATAAATGGTACATTTTCCCTTTACCCCTGTCTGGGTAGGGCCCACTTGCTACTAGCAACTGAAGTCTGCCTTGGTGATTGGGCAGGACCCCCCACCCATGCAAAAGCTACATTAATACTGAAGCAGGTTCAGGTCATGGCTGTGCATTGGGTAAGGGGCTCTGGTTCCACCTAGTAATTGTTTGCAGAGGCACCACAGAGCCTCATGAACAGCAGGGACAGTGGTAGAAATTGCTCTACTCCAACACTTACTTTTGTCCAAACTTTGTCTCCCAGAAGACTGATACATCTCACTCAAAGCTAGTTTTGTTCTAGGTGATGGGATTTAGGGATGCAGGAACAAAGATAAGAGGCTTAAGGGCTGCCCCTCCCCCCTACTTCCCAGACAGCTGCTCGTAGAGTTTTGGCACATAGCTATCCCACTCCGCCTGATAGCAGGTGCCAGCCACCGGGTTTCCCAGCTTGTACTTTTTGCGGAAAGAGGCCACTTGGAACTTCCCACGTTTGTCACCAGATCGGTTCGTGAGGACGGGTTCGTTGCAGTTCAGTGGCTGCGGCTGTTCGTAGACCAGCCACACATACCGGTGAAGTCCTGCAGATTGGGTGGGAGAGAGACAGACACGCTATGTTAAATAGAAGAAAAAAAATATATAGATTTTCTAAGGAAAACACTATGGTACATAAGCTTGTGATCATACACACCCCTATGTAAGGGTCTGAGCCACACATTAATCTTGTTATTGCGTATAAACAAACCATTCTGGTATCCTACCACCATGGAGGATGTCCTGAGTCAAGTATCCAAGGAATGTGCCGACAGCACCAGGTGTAGACATTAGATAAGCGTGCCAGGCGCTGTACACAGACAGGAGCTCTAGGGCAGACATCTTACACTACAGATGGAACTTTTGTTGGTTCCATGGTTTGGATTTTTAGCCATCTTGTTGCATAAGGGCTAAGGACGAGTTTGAGGCCTTTTGGAACACGTGTTTTAAGGGAAGGACCCGTGAGATATAATGGACTCACTGGCACTATCCTATCAACCACTTTCAGTAGTATTGTCCACTTTAATAGACTGGGGCTGAAGGCAGAAGCATGTGTTTTGCACAGATGTTAGGTCTGGAACAGCAAAATAATTGGTATTTTTCTGGCACACTCCAAGCAAGTCTTGTAAGAATGCATGTTCAGCACCCAGAAGAGCAGCAAAACAATTCCCACAAAATGTACTGACTCGGGAATTGCCAAGCATGGCCGTGTGTGACCCTGCGAGAATGAGGGGTCATCATCAGCTGTCAGTTTATAAAGATAAGGAGTATGGACAGTTCCAGCTCACGCCTTTGTGCAGGTAAATATCTGCCAGGATCCTTTACAACTGAAATTGTCACTATATTTCCAATTTTTTCCCCCCAGGTTTGAGGAGGGCACAGGAAAGAAGTGGCTAATACAGATCTGTAGGGTTTGGAAGCTGAAATGTTGGCATATCCTGAACACACGCACTGCAAATAGTTCTTCAGCTGTAGCGGAGCAGTTTTTAATGCAGATTGCACCAACTCCCAAATTCAGAACTGTTTTGGTCTCCTGGGCCTAACACCTGTTCTAAGTGATGTAAGAGCTTAACAGACTCCCAGACAAACAACACTAACTTCAACTTGTCTACTACGTTTACGCAGGAGAAGAGATGTCCAGCAGCTGGTATCTCCCAGGTAAACAGCTATTGAAACAGCTTCTTTACTTACAGGAAAGAAGATTTAATACATGAACAAAATGCACCAGCTATGCCTGAATAGCATTCAGGGTCACATTTGAACTCAGTTCTTATCTGGGAACCACCCAGATATCAACTCAGTGAAATTCCCTCCAGCCCCTGTTGCAGGCAATGTGCTAGTCATTTACTTTCCCCCATGGTGGAAATATACTAGCGGCAGATGGACAGTGCTTGGCCACGCTATCCACATTGCTGCTTAGACAGCAGTTTGCTCTGCACTCCTGGTGCAGGAGGTATACACGTGACTCCTTGTTTCTATCAGGTAGCTTTGCCCACCAAGATGGTGACTTCCTTCTCTCTGTACATTGCACACTCCTGCTTGGGTTCCTCTACATTACGATCTACTCATTCACAGCATGGATTCGTCAGTCGAGTCTGAGTACTGTAGTATTCACTGTAGCAAGGAGTCCTGCATTAGGCCAGGCAGGAACTTAGTGATATGTGGTGGCTACCACTTACTAACCTGTCCCTTTGGGTGGCCCAGAACCAACGTAATCAGAAAGGACACACCCACTGCTGATGTCATTTCCTTTCATGTTGACAACCAAGAAGTGATGCCATTCCCTAAGAGGAAGAACATGCCCAAGTTAGAACCAATAACAGTCTCTACAGATTACTGGACCTGCCAAGAGAATTAAATGGACAGCCAGGAAGATGGCTATTAGAAGCAGAGTATTTCCCCACTCATTCCCTGTCCAGGCCCTTGCTGTCCCTGCCAAGTTTGCACCATATACGCACACCAGGATGTAGTTTCACATGAATCTCATTGACCAGAACTGTTCAGATGAAGCCAAGAAGCCAGCAGGGCAGAGAGAGGTGCTTCCCGCTCACCACAAAGCATGCAGCAGCACTGCTCTGAACACGCATTGTCAGGGGCACACTGCCCATCCTTGGATGTCTGGGTGGGGAAGGATGGTTACTGGCTAACATTCAGGAGCAGGAGCTCTGGGTTCTGTTGCAGGCTTTGCTATAAGCTCACTGCAAGGCCCCTAGCAAGTCATTTCACCCCTCTCAACCATTTCTGCTGCACCAATCATCAGCTGAAAGAGGCAGCATGAAAGTTCAACTAATAGTTCAGTGGTTAAGCTATTGTCATTGATGGCAGACAAGAGAGGGACACTTACAAAATTCTCCTACGCTATTACCTGAACTTTGGATCCTTCCTGCTCGGAGCATCTGGATCAGTAAGAACCAAGGTGTAGAGTTTCTGTGGATCGCAGCCATCCCACTCAATGCTGGTTGGGCGGTTCTGAACCTATAATGATTAAGTTGTATGCCATTCATTAAACAAGAAGGGAAAAAGAGTCATTTGTGTAGAGAATCCATCACCCCCTCTCCAGGTGCTGTGAGCCATAAGTTACATTGGGCATGCAATTGACGCATCACGCTAATGTTATTACATAGACCCGTTTTCATTACACCAGAAGGGAGACTGCTAGTAGATTACACCTAAAAATGAAGGATTTTAATAAACTTTAATGAGCTGAATGTTTTTTCCTCCACTTAGAATATGTTTGAATAAGAACAACCCATACAAACTGCAGTGTTTGGCACCTAAAAACTCCACCTCCGTGGTAGTGACAAGAACTTGAATGCAAAGCAGGGAAACGCTAAGAATGACGCATGTCTGTTGCCGTCATCCGGGCGCAGTGAAGCGTAACTAGCAGATGCATGCCACAGAGGATCAAGGTTGGAGTCCTTGAATCAGTTATGAAATCCATCTACTCCTCACCTTGTACTTGGACAGCAGAAACACTCCCTGGCGTGGTGGAATTTTCCACCCGCCTGCGAAATGGATACCCAATGTGCACTGCTGTTGGTATATACCCAAGGAGGATGCCAACCAACCACAGCACTGTCCTCTTACGTACTCTATTTCCTAGTAATCGAGTCGTGGTGTTGGAGCAACACAGGCGTTACCACAACCATTTGGAGCACAATGGGCCTCCGTTTTGCTCTCATGCTGGTGCACGTCATGAGTAACACAACTGAAACCAAGGGAGTTAGCAAGCACAGAGGCAAGTCCACTCTCCGTTAAAGCCAGAGGCTCCCAGGTGGGTTCATAGGGCTCTCATCTAGGGAGCGTACCTAAGAGCTCGCATTCATTCCGCGAAAGCCGCCCCACACTTAGGCTGGGCCGCAAACAGGGTCAAGTCTCCGCCATCCCACAGTGCGGCTCATTGTAGGGTGACCAGATGTCCCTAGTTGATTGGGCCAGTCCCGATTTTTGGGTCTTTTTCTTATATAGGCTCCTATTACCCCCCGTCCCGATTCTTCACACTTGCTGGCTGGTCCCCCTAGGTCATTGTAGCAGCAGCGTCACCAGCCCCCCGGGATAAGCGCCCCTGATCCCCCACCAGGAGCCTCTTCTCCGAGCACCCGCCTTCCCGCTCTGCCCCCGGCTCCAGCCTGCAGCAGGGCTCGGTCCCGCCCCGGGGGGGCTGGCAAGAGGCTGCGCGGAGGCAGCGAGGGCAGCAGCCTTCCCCGTTACACCGCCACGTGCCGGCGCTGCACGGAGCGGCCTCCTCCCGCCCCGCTCGGCCCCGCCCGGCCCCGCTCTCTGCTCAGCGCGGGGCAGGCAGCAGAGGCCGCAGCGAGAGCCGAGCCCCAGCAGGCCAGGCCCGGGGGCTGCCTGGAGCCGAGCCGAGGCCTCTGCGGGGCCAGGCTCGCGGGGCAGCCGGGCTCGAGCCCGGGGCGGGGCCCTACCTGCGTGGGGGTGAGCACCTGGCCCAGCTCGTCCAGCTCCAGCGCCCCGTAGCGCACCCGCAGGGGCAGCGCCGGCGGCTGCTCCACCTCGCCCAGGCTCAGCGGCCCGTCCCACAGCCCCAGCTCCAGCGGCATCCTCGGCGCCTCGAGCGACTGCGGCGCGAGAGCGGGGCCCTGAGTGACGGCGGGGCCCGGCTCCTCCCTCCGCTCCCATTGGCCTCCGCGGGAAGAGGGGGCGGGGCCCGGCTCCTCCCTCTGCTCCCATTGGCCTCTACGGGAAGAGGGGGCGGGGCCCGGCTCCTCCCTCTGCTCCTATTGGCCTCTACGGGCAGAGGGGCGGGGCCCGGCTCCTCCCTCTGCTCCCATTGGCCTCTACGGGCAGAGGGGCGGGGCCCGGCTGGATGTCTCGCGTTGCAGGGGAGGGGGCGTGGCGCAGCAGAGCAGGCTCCCCGGACAGGCTGCAGCTCTTGTGGGCTGTTCGCTGCAACGGGATCGGGGGTAGCAGCCTGGCCCCCAGCCCAGACCAGCCGCCAGATCAGGAATTGTCAGCACCACTCCTGTTGCAATGACACACACACACCAGCCCCTTGGCCTGGGTGCTGCACAAATGCAAACGCTTAGGCGTGAGGCCACCCCTGCACCGTCATGGGGCCATTGGGAACCTGTCTGCTCCCAGCGTAGCTGAGAGCAGCCCTGAGGGTTGCTCTACCTTGCACCAGCTGCTACTAGCCCAAAGGGAGCATTGCCGCAGCTAGGAATAGCCACGATGTAGGAATGCCCCCTGGTTCCAGCCCTTCCCATGGTTCCCTGTAGTAGGAGATGAGATAGAGCTGGCTGGACTGACTCAGCCTGTCAGGGACTTCCCCCTATGCTGGAGGCAGGGCCGGCTCCAGGCACCAGGCACCTAAGCTGGTGCTTGGGGCGGCACCTGGAGGGGGGCGGCGCTCCGGCCGCCGGGGAGAGCGGGGCCACAGCCGGGCTCGCCGCCCCCCCCCCGGCGCTCTGGCCGCCCTCCCCCCCCCCCGCGCCCTCCCCCCGGCCGCCGGGGGGAGAGCGGCGAACCCCTGCCGGGGCTCGCCGCCCTGCGCTCTGGTCGCCGGGGGGAGAGCC